GAGCTTTTTGCTTAAGGGTAGAACTCTATCACTTGAGCCACAGCTCCACTTCAGGATTATTGGTGGCTAATTGGAGACAAGATTCTCACAGACTTTGAATTGTAAATCCTCAGATCTCAGCCTCCTGAATAGCTAGGATTACAAGAGTGAGCCAATGGCACCTGACTCCAATAATTTTTTAATACCAGAAAAATGGGTGCCTGACCAAGGTAATGGTGTCCATCTCTTGGCCAGAGATTAACTAATTACCATAATGACAGACAAAACAATGGGAAAGATTCAGATGCTTAGCTTGTTGTGGCTTGAAGAACTAACACCACTGGATCGTTCCTTCTCTCCCTTTTCTACTCCCTCTCTCCCCAGGGATGCTGCTGTTGCTGGTCCTGACACACTTTAAAACCCCTGATCTAGATTTGGGGTTTTACTGAAACATATAGACCTCCTTCCCCTAACCCACTACTCGTGTAAAATTCTTTTGGCTGTACTTATTAAAGTGCCTCAAATAGGAATCTGTAACTATAGACTATTTCAGACAGAAATCTGTTTCAAAGTATTCTAGGACTTTGCTTATTTCATATCATTGTTTAAGTCATTACACTCAGTTTTCCCTTTGACAAAGGCACTTCTTTATACCTCATCTCCACTCTCTTGTCTTTTCAGATCCTTAATATCTTTGCCACTTCTAGCTGAAATACATGCAAAAGCTTTGGAGGAACTGGGGCTGTGGTGTAGACATGGTCTCATTCTCTCACCAAGTTGCAGTGATGAATGGAAAAAATGTGTGTGTGGGGGGGGGTGGGTAGGGACCGAGGCCTGTAGATTCTATAAGGTTGTTCTGATAAGTTTAGTAATCACTGGACGACTGGTAACAATTGGACAGTTTCACCTCTCACAAACAGGATACATTTTTTTTCACAAACTCTTTAAATCTTTGTGTTCTTTTACTCAAATGTTAATTAATTGTATTTATGGAACCATGTTAATGTACAATATGAAGGATCTAGGCTTTCTCAGTGGCTTTCCAGTAGCCTATCCTGAGAGTTCATTAGCAGTAACCATATTGACTAGAAATGAATATCTGGATAATCTGACCATCAGCTATGAACTACAATGATTTCCAGAAGACAAAGATATTTTCACCACTCTGCAGGGAGCTGTCAGAAAATCTGGCCTTTCCATGGTACAAAATGGACTTCTACAACTAGCTGATGCCTAACATTCTGCAAGCAGCACTTCATTCCTTTGGCTTAAGGCTTTCCCCTGTTAAAATACAAGTGACCTGGGGCTGGGAAGGTGGCTCCGTGGTAGAGTGCTTGCCTCGCATGCATGAGGCCCTGGGTTTGATTCCTCAGTACCACATAAGCAGGAAAAAGCAGAAGTAGTGGGGTGGTTAAATTTGTAGAGTGAGTGCTAGCCTTGAGCTGAAGAGCTGAGGGACAGCACCCAGACCCAGAGTTCAGGCCCCACGACTGACCAAAAAAAAAAAACCCAAAAAAACAAAAAACAAGTGACCCTCAAGAGAGGTAGCATTAAGCCTCATCATCTCAAAGTAAATGAATTTATCCCTTTCCTGAGAGCATGTTTTTCTTAGGAGGAAAAGAAAGTAGGAGGCACTGAGGAGAGTTGGTGCTGGGACATAATGATTAGGGAGCATGGAGCAGAAAGAGACAGGATTGTATAATAGAATTCATTGCTTAGCTGGAGGCTATCCCTGGGGGTTGGGATGGGGTAACACCACTGAAACAGGTTTTGGAGCAGGTTACCCCAAAATCTGCTGCTTTCTGATAATACTGAAAATTCTTTAATGCATAGGCATACAAAGGCTTCTTGCGATGAATGAAAAAATAGCAATAAAACATTTGGTGCAACAATAGATAGGGAGTTATCTCCCCCAAATCAGAACCACCACACAGGGAAGAAGAGAAACTTAGGCTATGCTACAGAGTGAAAAATCACAGGGCCGGGACGAGGCTAAGGCACTTGCAGGGCCCTGAGAGCAGGCGCCTCAAATTTTGTGCCCTTGTAGGCACCTAGGTAGCCTCACCTTAGTCCTGGCCCTGGCAAATCATATTAAAGTGAAAGCTCACCATTGGCAAACACGGAAGGCTGAACCAGTGAGGAACATGGCATTGAGCTTGAACTTGTCCTTTTCCTAATTCAGGGATGAGGAAGGGGGCAGGTGCATGGGCAGATATGTTCAGAGATAGGTACACAGAGATCAGATCTGTGTCATTCAAGTGGGTGTCAGGCAAAATGCTTGTTGGAAGAGCCTTAGACTCAGTTATTGGTCACATGATCAGATTGGTTGATCAAAGTGTGATCATTGAGCTAATATAATCTAGCTGACTGCCTGTGACCTTGCCTCATTCACATGGTTGAGATATTGACCATAGATGTAGTTCATGTGGGAACAAGTTGGGGGGTCAGGTAAGAGGTCTAGGCAGGCCAAGTAGTACAGAAAAAGGAGAAGAGACACCAATCAAGCCAGCCTTACTACTTACACTATCTTGCTTAATACTACCAAGTACAATGCCTTCACTTCTGATTAGATTGAAGCCAATCTAGCTGCTATTGGTTGGAACTGGAGGACAACAAAGGGTTAGGAAAGTCTTAAAGTGGAAGCTGACTTCCTGGGGTCAAGTTCGTTCTCTCCAACCATATTCTACCTTTAGAGATTAGTCTAATAATTATTTGTACTAGTTATAGTGGTGGCAGGAGCTTCTTTGAAAGCTTTCCTAAGCAGGGCTTGTTGCTTTTCTTCTTCAGCCTCAACAGATACAGGTGGCCCAGAAGTGCCTCGGTAGGAGAATGAGCTAGGTTTATGCTAATCCAGCGTAGAAAAGCGGTTGAGTGTCAGGAGTAGGAAAGGTGCTTGCTAATCAATGCCTGGTAGTTTTTTAGTTTGGGGTTGCTTGGGGCTAGGTCCACTTGCTGCAAAATATTAATTTAATATTTCCAGTCTTAGCTGTTATGTCTGACTGTACAATCTGTTCCCCAAATCCTCTGCCAATAGGGACACCACCGGGCATTTGGGAGACAGTGATTTTACAGAAGATATTCTAAAATTTCCAGGCAAGAGAGAGTGAGGGAAGGAGTGACATTGTCCAAAAAGAAAGGTACTCTTTGCCTGACTTATGTAACTGTAACCCCTCAGTACATCACCTTCATAATAACAATTAAAAATTAAAAAAGAAGCTCTAAGCAAATAGGAGTTTTATAGAGGAAAGCAGGAATGCAGGTGATGGAAAAACATCAAGGTGTCTGGGCACTCAGCTTTAAAGCTTCCAGAAAAATCAGCAGAAGTATCAAGTCTTAGACTATATAAGTTCCATACTTGCATACTTGAAAGTTCAGCTGTTCATAATAGTTTTCAAGGAACAGGACCTGGCAGCCCTTCATTTTTGTGAGACAAAAGCACAAGCTCCTTCATTTCCCTACAGAGAACAATGTTTCATCCTTTGGAACTCCGAGTCCAGGGCAGATAAGTGAAACATTCATGTACAAATGAAGGCCTGGATATCTTATTTTACTTCTAGCAACACCCCCACCTCAGAAACTTGGTTAAGACCTTCAAACCAAATAGTTCAAATAATTGTAAAAGCAGCTGGTATTTCCCTAGATGTTTATTAAGTGACTTCTTTCTAAATGAAAGTGCTGATGCCAGGCAGTTGGTAGGCTTGGCCTATTCCTTATTGGTCTAGAATTCAGAAGCAGACCAACCAAGGACCTGGGCCTAAGGCTTCTACATGAGAGTCAAGTTTCAGTACTTAGTATGGTTTTTCAGCTGTTTCATTTAGCTAGAACATGGGTAGTTGAACTAAGAGCTTGCTTCTCATTGGTGGGAATGTGATCTATCAAAAGAGAGAACTGCTTGTCATTGAAAGTCTGTGTCCTCTCTCCTTGCTGACCGCCCCCCGCCCCGCACAGCCTCCCCCTTCCTTCCCCGCCCAGGAACTTGACCAATCTGTTGGGTCAAGGAACATTCTTTGTGAAGTAGGCTACAATATTGTTTAATTTTCCTTTTGACCTCTTGGGACTCATATAACATATTCCCAACACTGATTAGCAGGTTTTCTTTGTTCAATGCTTCATCTGTCTTTCCCCAACTCTCCCCCATTGCAGAAATCAGGGTTATGGAAATCAGATGAACCATTGTTCTTGCTCTGCTTAGAAAACTGACAAGAGTAGTTAGCGCCTGTTAGAGTTGGAGGGGAAGGAATCACAATGATTATTTTTGGAACTCTTTCAGCATTCCATTTCCCCAAGTTCTTACATTCTCCTCCAATATGGTTAACTGAAAGTTGGTCAACTAGCAGCACATAAATGGCAAAAAGTAGCCCTTTTTGTGTTATGGGCTATTGTAATTTGTAAGGCTGCCTTTTAGACTTGGGTAGAACTTTTTAGTTTATAAGCTCTTGATTTTTGGAACAGAGTCAGATGATTTCCTTTTATCTGAATTGAATATGTGGGGTAAGATGCACTTACTTTCTATCCTCCTTGAGCTTTTGTTGATGCTGATCGTTCACCTAAGTACCTCCTGTAATGAATCCTATATGCAAATGAAATGCGTTCTTGGAGTGCAGCATGAGCTGGGCACAGATCCTGGATGTCCACGATGTCAGACACTTGAAGGACCTCAAGGAGCATTTGTGAGTTATCTTGGTTAGATCAGAGTGAACAAATTCCTGGTGCAAATGCTAAGCTTGGTTCATCCAAAGCCACCCAGTCAGGCTCTTTCCTAGCTAATGGTGGGGTGGGGGAATTTAAAAGTTTATTGAGACTCATCACCCTGATCTCCGCATAGACAATCAAACTGAAAAAGGCATGAAGTTTCAGGACAGACTCACATTCATATTTTGCACCACAAAAGCCATCCAATCAACCTCATGCCAAAATAAGAGCACACTTGTGAAACTCTCACTAGAAGAGAGCCACACTGTGTTTGAGGAGGCTTAGGTGTCTTTCTATGACCCTACACAAGAGAGTGGATAATTGGAAATGATGCCTTCTCCCACCTGCCCCTGTTGGGCAGGCTCTAGTCTGCGCCCCCATCGTGCTTCTCAGGGATAGGACTCAAGGGACAGAGCAGCCAGGACATTGACTAAAAAGGGGCACACACACCCTCAAGTCAGGATTTCTTCTTAGTTCAAAGCACTGGGGGAAAATAAGGAACTCCCTAGTCAATCATGACAAGGGTGTAAGAATGGGAATGCAGAATGTCTGAAGACTTTTCAAGTGCTTGATGATCTCAGCTCTAGTTGAATGGGCCTCTCTGCCATCCAGAGTGTGAGTTAATGTAAAAGAAATGTAGGCTATTTTGTTATGCTTGTGGTTTCTTTCTAAACTCATTTCTCTTCCCCCTTCTGTACTCAAGCCTAGTAAGCCCTGCTCTTGAAGCTGAGGCTTATGTACTGGGGTTGTCGGTGGTTTCATAGTCTTTTGAAAACTGAGCAATGATTCGTCGAGCCAGTGGGTTAGTGGTCTTCAACAGCTCAGCAGCTGAGGGGCGGGACCTGGGAGTTGCTTTACTTCCCTTCTTCTGGAGCAAGGCCTTGAAATCATCATTTCTGCCAGCATCTAGGCTGGTGCTGCCACTTGGTCCTGAGGCAATGGAAGAAGACTCACTGATGGGAGAATCGGCTGTGTTTTTCACTGGTGAGTGGGAGCTTGGCCTGCTGCCTGCAAAACCCTCTCCAGGCTCCTTCCAGCCAAGCAGCTTTCTTTTGGACCTAAATAAGAGACGATCTGGTCTGAATAAATTCTGGGAACAAATATTTAGCAATGCTTTGCACAACTCCTTGCCTAAGGATGTGTTTGAATACATGCACACGATAGTCTTGCAAGCATACTATTGATCAGCTTTCTTTTACCATTAGGTCCCCAGTTTCTTCATTGTACCCCTCTTCTGCCTTTCAATGCCCACAGCTGGAGTCATTTGACTAGTGCCTGCAAGGTGAGTCCTACCAAGCTTCTGGGACCAGGCCAAATGTATGGAGTTGAGGCTAAAGGCTTAGATTAGGGGTTAATCCTGTTCTGAACTGGTGTTCCAGCTCTAATAACTGGGCTCTTAGATCAAGGTTCTTTGTCATTGATCCCCTACCTAGTACCCCTGTGCTTCATTTGCTCCCCCTTTGCCTAAGTCCCTGCTTTGGCTTGCTGCCCAGTGCCCCACATTACTTCTTGAGATTTTTGTGCTACTAGGAATTCTGTAAAGGGTTAAATGTCTCTGACTGCAGACAGAACTGTGAGAGCAGATGGAGCCACAATAGGCCAAGCAGTTGCTAGGAGACAAGGGGCCTCTCTCAGCACCTGGTCCTCCCTCTTCTCCCCTCCTCCACTTTACCCAAAGACGTCAGTGAATTTGAGATGTGAGGCCCCAGACAGGGCTCACATACGTGGATATTTGGGCTCCAGTTGCAATTCTAATGGCTGCTTAGAGATAGCAGTTTTTCTTTAGGTAGAAACAGGAAACGCAATTGCAATTAGAACCAAGAACAAAAAATAGTCCAGACCTGTGTATCACAGTAAACAAATCTTCAGTTGTGCGTGAAGCCACAAACACGTCATCCTCTTCCTCCACAATCCATTCAGCTGTTTTATCACTGATTAAACTTTTCTCTTCAGTGTTTGGTTTCACCGTACTCCCTAGGCATAAAAACCAGAAGGCGTGACTTTGACCACAACAGATATGGCAAAGCACATCCATTTTCATGTTAGTTCATTTGCTGTTTAAAGCATCTCTGGAAAGGTAGCAGAGAGAGGATTTTTAATGTCTCCATTTTAAAAAGAGAAACATGAAGTTCTTTTTATTTTATTTTTTTGGGTCTGGTTGTGGGGCCTGAACTCTGGGCCTGGGCGCTGTCCCTCAGCTCTTCAGCTCAAGGCTAGCGCTCTACCACTTGAGCCACAGCGTCACTTCTGGCTTTTTTCTTTTTGCTTATGTGGTGCTGAGGAATCGAACCCAGGGCCTCAGGCAAGCAAGGCAAGTGGTCTACCACTGAGCCACCTTCCCAGCCCCAGAAACATGAAGTTCTGAAAGTTAATAATTTGCCCTCAGTGGAGTGGGGGGGGGGAGAGGAGGGAGGAGAGACAGAGAGATTGGTCAGTCATTCTCTCCAACAGGTGACATGAGCATGTGCTGTTTTTTTTTTATTTGTATATTTGTTTGCTTGATGCTGGAGATGGAATCCAGGGCCTTACCCATGCTAGAAAGCTCTCTCACTGAGCCACACCACAGTCCCTTATTTCATTGTAATATACCATCTTAAAAAAATTACAGGACCACATGCTGGTGGCTCACATCTGTAATTCTAGCTACTTAAGAGGCTGAGGATTTTCATTCAAAGTCGGCCCAGGCAGGAAAGTGGGAGAGACTTTTAGCTCTAATTAAGCTCCAAAAAGCAAGAAATGAAGCTGTGGCTCAAGTGTAAGAACAGCAACAAGCTCTGAGTTCAAGCCCCAGGATGGGCACAAAAAACCACAGAGCTGAGGGTGGGTATCAACAGAAGAAGGTTAACAAGAATGAATATTGTCCAAGTCATTTATTTGCATATAATAACACAGAACAATGAAACATGTTGAAATTTTTTTAGGAAGGAAGGGAGAAGGGAGAATGATAGAGGTGGTGAAGTTGATGTATACATGACTAGAAATGTCACAACTAAACTCCCTCTGTGCACCTAAATGCTGATACAAAACTTTAATTTAAAAAAATGCCCAAGATAATAAAAAATATCACTGAGCTGAAAGCAATTTAAAGTACTGACTCTCCCATAGCAGGTGAGAGAGGAACTTTTCTGAATCTCAGAGGGAGCCCGTGGAGTCTTAGAAAGCATATTCTAAAATAACTTGTGGCTTTGATGTGGTTGCTTGTTTTAGTTACAGTTATTAACTTATACTAAGAGTCCAGATGAGCTTAAAGAAGGCCAGGAACCGCCAGAAGATGCTCATGACTGTAATCCCTGCTACTCAGAAGCAGACAGAGATGGGAAGAACTGTGAGTCAAGATCACCCTGAGCAAAAAATTAATGAACTCTTATATCAATTAATAAACTGGGGGTTGTAGGTACACCTATGATTTAGCCTCACTATGCTTGAGGCCCTAGGTAGGAGAATGAATCACTGGTCTAAGTCTGGCCCCAGGCAAAAAAATGACTAAAACCTAAAGGGCTAGGGGTTTGACTCAAGTGGTTGAGAGCCTGCCTAGCATGTGCAAAACCCCAAGTTTCAAACCTCAGTATCACCAACCAACAAACCAACAAACAAAAGAAAAAATGTCATGAGATTTTAATGTTCAATGTAAAAATTTCAAAAAGGAAGAGAAACATGGATGGGTCTTGAGAACATTAAGTAAAATAAGCTAGTCACACCAAAGAAAGACTGAATCCACTTATCAGAGGTACACAGTTATCAAACTTACAGACTCCAGAGTAGAATAGTAGCTAGCATCCATTAGGAGGAGGAAAGGTATAGCACAGGAGTATGGAATTTGAGTTTTGCAAGATGAAATGTGAGTGTATATAAACAGGAATGGACTGCATGCTTAAACTTGTTACAGGATTATAATTAAAACATCATCACAAAAAGAGAGAACAGTGAGGCACCGGTGGTTCATGCCTTTAATCTTAGCTACTCAGGTGGCTGAGATCTGGGAATCAAGATTCCAAGCCAGTGTAGGCAGGAAAGTCTGTGAGACTCTTTATCTCCAATTAACCACTAAAAAACTGGAAACAGAGCCATGGCCCAAGTGGTAGATTGACAGCCTTGATCAGTAAAGCTAAGGGACAGTGTTTAGGTTCTGTGTTAAAGCCTCAGTACCAGTACAAAAAGGAGACTAGCCTAGTCTTATGGGTTCAGGAAGAATTAGCCTCACACCATCTAAAGAAGTGAACTTCCTTTCCTCTGGAAGGCTCCAGGAAAGGATGGATGCCTTCCCATCTGCCATGACACCGGAACATGTTCTGGGAGGGTACTGAGTCAGGCATCAAACTGAATTTATTGCCCCTAATAAAAAAAACTATTGTGTGGTGAGGAGGTGTCTTAGGGCAGGGAATGCACACCAGTTTGAGTAGATGGGATCCTGAAATTCTAGGATGCTAAGGCCTAGCTTGATTTAATCACCTAGCACTTGAACCAAGGCTTGGCATTGGACACCTGGGTGTCCCAGGTAAGTCCTGATGCCAAGGGCAGTAAGGGTGACCTGTGGTTCCTGTTCAGAGTAACTCATATCCTCAAAAATACCCCTATTTTTTGGTCATGGATGAGGATGACTATTTTGAAATAACTGCTACTGTTACTGGCCTTCTACTCTCATGCTCATCCCTCCTGAGATTATAAGAAAAAGGTGGCAGCCAGTTTACTAACCTGAAGAGTGTGGCTCTTGCCCCCTGTCAGCCTGAAGAGTTGAAATCACCCTTTTACCAGGAGATGGAGGGTCATTGCGAGTGGGGGGATGCTTGCCTTCTTCCTCTAGGGTGATGATGGGGCTTAGAGGCAGCCTTGTTTCTACCACATAGGTCTCTAGCTGAGCTCCAGGAGAGGTGAGAGGCAGATACAGCACACTGGGCTTTTTTGGTACTGGAGGTGGGATCTTGCTGGTCTTTTTCTCAGCTTCTTCCTGGCTCTGGAGGCTTATTCTTTGAGGCAATGCTCTCCCTTTGGGGCTATCATCCTCCATACTTGCCCGGGGAGGCTGTTGTGTTCCTGAGAAGAAAGCACCAGAGGAACTGGCAAAAGGCGTGAAAGCAAGAGAAGAGAGGACAGTTGACTCCCCTGGGCTTCGTCCATCGGGGAAGCTGGAGGACTTTGGTTTCCTCAACACTGTGTAGCTGTCTTGAGAGAGCGGTCTCACATGTTGAATAGAACTCTTAGGGGTCATAGCCAAAGTTGGTGAAGCTAGTGGGTGTTCCTCGGGGACTGATGGCGGCTTGTGGATCAAGCTTGGAGGCCTTCGGGCCAGAGGGGGCTTCTCAGCTACAGGAGGTTTCACTTTTCTCTCAGGCAACATGAAGACTTCTTCGGCTCCAGGTTCCTCTGGATAGTCTGGGATCTCAGTGTCATCTTCTGGCTCAGATTTGCTGACTGACCTCAGGCGAATGGAACGAAGGTCAGACTGAGTAACCATGGGCATGATGGGCTGGTTGGGGCTAGTTTTCTGGGCCAATTTGGCTCCAAAGTTGGTATCAGAGTGATGACGGCTCACCTTGGTTTTACTGCGAATGGAGATACTCATCCCGGATAGATCCAGGCTGGTCGGAGAGGTCAGTGGTAGGTCAAATGACAGGCGTGACTTGGAAATTTTCTCCATTGGTGATGTTGGAGGCAGTGATGACTTCCTCTCGGGTACCACTGGACGTACTCGAACACTGCTGCTTGGAGGGGGTAAGTGGCCCAAAGTCAAGGACATAGAGACTGTGGGTGTAGGTGTCTCTGATTGACTGGAATAGCCACTGGAGGGTGACATCAGTCCTGTAGGCCTTCCTGGAGAGGATACCTCCCTAGCCTCCACCTCAATGGAGAGTTGGGAAGGTGTTGTGGCTCTGGAGGTGGAAGGTGAGGCAAGAGACTCAGAGCTGCCCTGAACTTGAGTGCACTCGATGACTGTGGTGCCAGTGGCAGTGCTAGAGCTAGACAAGGATTGATAGGTGTCACCAGACTTCCAGTCAGTAAGATACCAGGGGTGGGAGAAATGAGTACCTTCTGGATCTTTGAGGGTTGGAACCGCTGGGTGACCCTGAGCATCTGGGTGGAGTGAGTGAGGATGTCCTTGATTTTCTAAGGACAGGCAAAGGCTCCTGGGTCTCTGGTCCTTGGGCAATGCTGTCCCACCTTCTGGTAAGAGGATGGGCTCATCTTTGACCAGAGAGACACTGCGCATTGGTGGGCAAGGCTTCTTTTTGGCCTTCTTGAGTGAGATGCTTTTGGACCTCTGTCTTCTGTGCCGGGCCTCTTGCTCGGCATTAAGTGACATGATGTTATCAGCACTGTTACTGCCTTCTGAGATTGTGCTGGCATACGGTAGGGCACAAGCCTCGCTGGTCTTGTGCTCTTCATCATAGCTCCCTACTGTGGTACCTGAGTCTGTGGGCACAGACAGTGATCGCTCCCGGAATCTATTGGCTCCACCTGGGCCTGTCTCTAGCCTCAAAGTACCACTGGTCAGAAGGCCAATCTTGGGAGGTCTTCCTAGTGTTTGTCTTCGTTGAGTAGGATGCTCTGAGTATTTGGTTACCCCACTGCATCCTGCCGGGTTATCATGAGTGACAAAGAGAGTAGCAGCCTCCTTAGGAACCAGAGGTTGGAGGGTGTTCACCCAAGAATTCCCCAGGGAAGGAGCTTTTCCATTTTCATTGACTTGGTTACTCTGGTTGTTGGCACTTGGAGTCATATAAGTGAAAGTATCTCCCTTCCTAGAAGGGGAGAACGTTGATTCTGTGGGTCCATTGCAAGAACTGGGGACACTATATACCATCCCCATGCTCTCCATGCTGGGAAGATCTGGATCTCCACGTACTTGGTGAGAGTCCCCGGACTGACTGGAAGGATTTCTCAGTCCTGGTGAAGTCAAATTTGGAAATCGTGCTTCTTGCCCAATGGTAACTATTCCATGAATCCCTGGTGGGGCAGAGTGGCTGGGCCTGGCATCCGAGGTGGCAGAGAGGGTCACACTGTCTGCAGGGCTGTTGCTGTGACCTGAAAGAGGAGGGAAAACATAAGAGCATTATGGAGAAGCAGCAAACGATACTCCCCCAACAGCTGTTTTGAGATAGCAGCAGTTACTTTTTTTTTTTTTTTTTGCAAAGAAGCATTTGCCAATAGCTTTGTCAGATTTCCTTCGTTCTTCCTTCTACAAATGAGTATGCTAGGAGACTTGGTCTTTTGCCCACCACTACATAATGAGTCACAGAGTGCCCTTGGATTGGCCAGATAGCTGCCAAAGTCTTTGTAGCTTTGATGATTTCTTTCAGAGTACAAGTGCTATGTGAGACTACCTTGGATTTCCCCGTCTGCTCTCCCTCAAGCTCTTTGAACCATTATAGACATCAGCATACATCAATCCTGGTGACAAACTGATTAAGATCTTGTAATCCCAGCAGTGAACCAGGAGTCCATTATAATTGAACACTAAGTGCCCAGCTGAGATTCTGGAATCTGTTACTCTTAATCTTCAAAATATACCTACCAATGTGATGACACCATTCAGATGATCTTAAGTTCAAGAACCTTTCTGATATACACAAGACTATTCTATCATTATTATTATTGCTGCTATGATTACTATCTTTGTGATGATAATTTAGACTAACAACTACCATTGATAGAACAACAACTATATCTCAGGCACAGACTCTACAACAGCTCTGAATCTTCACCAAGACTCTCCTGGGTCGATATGATCCTCACAAGATGTAGATGGCGAAGCTGGGGCTCACAGACTATATAACTTGGTCAAGGCCTTATAAAGAGACCAGGACGGGGGCAGGGGGAGGATGGGATGGGAAGGGAAAACAAAGGAGGAGGCTACAATGCTTGATAAGAAATGTACTCATTATCTTGCCCATGTAATTGTAACCCCTCTGTACGGTGTTTTCACAATAAAAAAAATAAAGAGACCAGGGCTCATACCAATTTTTCTCTTGTCTGAGTATTTCCTTCTTTCTTTTCAGTGATGGGGATAGAATCTAGGCCCTCATATATGCTCAGCAAATGTTTTACCACTAAGTCACACCCACCCCCAGCCCTGATCTATGCTTTTTGGACAGCAATGGTCTGTTAAGATGGTATTTTTAGTCATGATCCCTTTCCTTATCTATGTGCATAAATTTGGCATGTGTGGTTATATTACATTTACAATGGAAGACCATCATGTGATGACTTTATTACCCTACTCTCCATACTTAGTTGCTGAACTTGACCTTGGTTGTCCTTCACCTCACTGGCTTTCTCAGGACATTCAAAGCCCCTTTCTTCTGAATTACTCTTGTTCCTCATCTTCATAATGTTACTAAGTGGCAGGACTAGTTGAACAGTTGAGGGGAAGGGTCTGGGAAAGGGATCAGCCGCGTTGGGGTCACCTTGTTCTCGCTGGGAAAAGTTAGAGATTCCAATAATGGTCCGCCTCCGCCTCAGGGTGGACTTGGGGTTCACAGCTGTCTCTGTATTAAACAACGAGTGTCGCAAACTTGCATGTTTATCAAACTGCTGCCCTGTAGCCAAAATAAAGACACTTGGATGCATCCTGGTTTCTGCTTAAAGTATAGTGGAAACTGGCCTTAAGTAGAGAGAAGGGATGATGGCAGTAGCGTAAGCATGAATAGCATCAGTGTGGGTGGCACTTCTTCCCCATCCCTCCCAATTAGGTGCTGGGTATTCATGCTGGGTCTCAGAGGTACACCCAGGTCAGCTATAAGTTTTTAACCTTGGCTTAATATTGAAACTAACAGAAAGCTTTGAAACCCTTAAACCTGGATTCCATTCCAGAAGACTGAACTCTCTGGGAGTAGAGTCTAGATAGAAGTATTTTCTAAGAGTCTTCAGGTGATTATTCAGTTGTACAGCTAGAAGAGAAACATAAATACAAAGTAATAGGATGAGACTAGATTTACTTGTGTGTAATCTTTTCTCTTTTTCTTATTTTTGCATTGCTGGGGATGGAACATAGATAGGGCCTTGCTCTTGCCAGGCCAGTTCTCTTCAACTAAGCCACACCCTCAACCCTTGGTTTTCAGAGACAGAGTCTCACTATGTTACCATTGATGTATTATTTTGGTCAGTTGTGGGGCTTGAACTCAGGGCCTGGGTGCTCTCCCTGAGCATCTTGTGCTCAAGGCTAGTGTTCTACCACTTGAGCCACAGCACCACTTCTCAGGGTCTCACTATGTAGCCCAGGCTAGCCTCAAATTTTCAATCCTCTTGCTTCAGCCTCTCATGGGCTGAGATTGTAAGCTACAATGTCTAGTTTGGTTGTGATCTTTTCTCAGTAAAAAAAAAATCTTATAGGGGCTGGGTGCTGGTGGCCTGTCATCCTAGCTACTCAAGAGGCTGAGATCTGAGGGTTGTGGTTAAAAGCCAGCCTGAGCAGAAAGGTCTGTGAGACTCATAGCTCCAATTAACCACCAGAAAACTGAAGTGGTATTGTAGCTCAAAGTAGTAGAGCACTAGCCTTGAGCTGATGAGCTCAGGGACAGCGCCTAGACCCAGAGTTCAAGCCCTATAACCAACAAAAAATATCTTTATAGGGGCCAGGGGAAGCTTGGAGTCTCCAAGAAGTTGTCCCACTGACCTCCACACAAACACTTGGTCACTTCAACCCAAACTGGCTGCTTCATGGTGTGTGAGCCCTATCTCTCTTAAAAGTACTGGATTGGCCTTTGGCTCCTGAGAACTTGCTGGGACAGTGACAAGGTGAGGTGGGATATGGAGCCATCCAGATATGTGTCTCACCTCCTTGTCTCCCAATTAGCAGCTGGCTTGGCAGACCCTTCCTGTCCAGCTGCACTATTGCATGCCTTGCTCAAGTACTTAGTTCTTTGGATAAAACTCAGGAACAGCCTCATTGAGAGTAAGAGGTTTTTAGAAAATGAATTGCTTTGCAAGTCTCTTCTCTTATGACCTTACATTTCTTGGCATACTTCCCTAAGCTATGGGCTCTACTTCATCGCCTATCTTCTCATTTTTTCCAGATGAATAATAGCAGTGGATAGCCCCATATTCAGGGAACATCATCACAAATGCCAGAGCTGTTCTCCTTTACGTTGACCAACTTTTTTCAGCATTGCAAAGCCAGTGCTGGCTTGCAAGCTCCCTGTAGGTTCCTTTGGGTTAATGAAGTTTACATTTCATCAAGTCCCTCCTTGCCTCCTTCTCTGGGTCTGGGATCTGTTTATTAGCTTTTTTCCTCAAGGCTGGGTGCTTTACCACTTAAGCCACAGCCACAATTCCAGCTTTCTTGTAGTTGATTAGAAGTAAGTGTCTTACGGTCTTTCTTGCCAGGTTGTCTTTGAACCTTGATCCTTATATCTCAGTCTCCCAAGTAACTAAGATTACAGGCCTGAGACATTGGCTTTGGCAAGACCTTTTTTCTATTTGTTTTATAGGGCATGAAGTGGGGAGCAACAATGAATATGACAGAGGCTGGGAAGGTGGCTCAGTGGTAGAGCGCCTGCCTTGCATGCATGAGGCCCTGGGTTGGATTCCTCAGCACCACATAAGCAAAAAGAAAAAAAGCCAGAAGTGGCACTGTGGCTCAAGTGGTAGAGTGCTAGCCTTGAGCTGAAGAGCTGAGGGACAGCGCCCAGGCCCAGAGTTCAGGCCCCATGACTGGACCCCCCCCCACAAAAAAATGAATTGACATAGTGTTTCCCTAGAGTCATAGCCAGAAGGGTTACATACATTGTCTTCATATTATCCATATCCTTTAGTATGTTTGGTATTTTTGGCCTTCAAATCTTTCCCTTTCCTCCTCCTACTTCCTCTTTTTGTGTGTGAAAAACTTACCAAACAAACTGAAGAGGCCTACCTTTTTGGAAGAGTTAGTATCTAATGAAAAAACAAACTAAAGATAATCCACAAATTTTGTTTCCATATAAGCTTCTAAGGGCATTCAAGTTCCTAACATTGTGGAACATTCTGTTCCACAAGAATGAAGGAAGAGCAGCCAGAGCCCCCTCTTCTGCATTCCTTCATTCCCTGACAAGAGCCATGATTGTGACAGTGCAGGGTGAGCTGATAGCAAAGAGAATGGATCTCCCTCCCCAGCAGTTAGTGAAAGTACATTTGGAGAATGGGTTGTGGTGGCACAGAGAGAAGCAAATAGGTGATGCTAAGTAACTCTACCAGAAATGTTGATGGGCACAAGATCAGACTGAGTGGAGCAGGGCTGAGGCCACCACTTCCCTTCCAAGATTGGCAGAGGGAAGGGGCCATTCCAGGCAGTTTGCTTGTCGGCTGGAGAAAGGCTCAGGGGGTGCTCCAGGGCCCTCACACCCTGGATAGTAGTCTCATCCTCACTCAGCTGCCGATTTGTAGTCTGTTGGGAGAGAGGGTGATATTTGAAAGGGTGTGCTTCTGAAGTGATGAGTGCACTGACAGGATGACTGCTTAGGCAGTGGTTGGAGGCTTGATCTGGGAGGAAGGAAGTAGGGCCAGGTTGTCAGCTGAGTACCTGCTGTGCAGGGCTCATTCTGGCAGGGTTTCAGTTAGCTCTGCTGGTGAACAGAGGTGAGCAGCAGCTCTAGGTGGGAATGTAAGCATTTCAAGGTTCCCTGTCAGTGGGTGCACGCTGGCTCTCCCAGGTGGGGGAAGAGGCAACTCACCATCAATACAAACTCCAGACGCCTGGCAGACTGGGGCCTTGTGTTGTGAGTGAGGTCAGGGGCCTCATCAGAAGAGCGGAAGGTCTGCCCCAGAAGTCTGGCCTCGGAGTACTGTTCCTCATATTCTTCTGAAAAATAGCACAGTGGAGAAACACTCTAGGGGCCCGTGGCCAAGTGCTAGGCTGAGGAGGACCATAAAGACAGGGTTCCTGCACTAGCTGCTAGGCCTGACTCATATTGCTTCACTGGGTTATTTTCCTGGTGTTTGAACCACTTGGATGTGGAAGTGAAAAAGTCCTGCTTCATAAATAGCCAGAGAAAGAAAAAAAATGAATAAATTCAAGCCATGTTGCTTTGAGGACCAAACCCTCATCTCTATGACCCCCATACAAGTGCTCTACACAGATGCAGAAGATACTGACTTTTTCTTTCTTTCTTTTTGCTACAAGGTCTTCTCTTTGAAGCTCTATAATTCTTCAGATTTTCTGCAACACTAACAAGGAACTGATCTGTGTGAAAGAAGAATTTGCCCTGGGAAGTTGTCTGGAGCTTTCTCTTTGGAACCAAGAACTTTTTAAAAATTTCTAATACAGAACTTTTATTTTTAGTTTTAAGACAGAGATCTCACTATGTAGTCAGGCTGGACTTCAACTTGTGATCCTCTTGCCTTAGCCTCTCAAGTGCTGAGATTATAGGGATGCACCAGCAAGCCCAGATGCAAGAACTCTTACTTGAGCTTTTGTACGCATGGTTCCACTGTGGGTGGGGTCAGGCCTAAGAAGGAGAGGGAAGATAATTGTGCAGAAGAAGGTGAAGTTCATGGGCATCATCAAAGAGTAAGAAGGATGCATAAGATTTGAATGGGGCTGACTGAAGTGATGATGTAGATAAGAAGGAAGTGCAAGAAAAGAACATTCATGACTATGTACATTTGAACAGATATCTAGTATTATGGAGATTTGGGCTTGTTCTCAGGGGTCTCAAGTTTAATGCCTTATTCTGTACTCAGACCCCTTCTAAGATGTTTATCCAGCCTCAGGGCACATACCTAAAGGGAAGGGAGGCGATTCCCCCCCTCCAAATATGGCTCACTGCCTCTACGGACAATTGGGGCTGTCCAGCATGTTAGAAAAGTTTGTTATCTGGAGGCAGAATCTTCCTCCCTTTGGGTGTCTATTCAATGGCCTTAACTTTACCCCTGGCAGCAGCACAGAACATACTGACTCAATGTGTGGTGGCACTTGGTTATCTGAACACAAGGCGCTGTGGTGTTCCTTGACTTCTTGTTGAGGTTATGATGGTTGGCAGTCCAATTGGGAGGCTCACTTGGCATCATTGGGGGGATGTAGCTCCATGCCAGGTGGTTTTAGAAACCCAAGGCTAGTACCAAGTTGTTCATTTATGAGGTGCTGAGGATGGACTCCAGGGCGCCCCTGGGGTTCTGACATGCTAGGCTAGTGCTTAAACATTGAGTTACATCCCCAGATCAGAGATGTGATGTACTTGGAGAAGCTCAGTCTGGCTAGGAGTACAATATAGGAAACTTTGGGTACTCTTTATTGGCCTTAACATTGGTGAGGCAGTAGCTACCCAGGAGATTTGTGGACAAGCCTATTGTAGGAGCAGAGGGAAAACCAGAGTTGAAAATCCTGACATTGATGTTCCTTTTATGCTCTGGTGCCAGGATTCCAAAGGCAGGGGCAACTGTGGAGAGGTCTGGAGGGCCCATATTGTGGAATTTTCCCAAAACACCCTGTTCACACTAAGAAGGACTTGACTCATTGCCCTGCCTCAGCTGCTACCCTGTTCCCTCATGGTCTACTGCGTTGAACAATGGGGGAGCGGGTAGGACAAACTTGGAAACAGAGTCATTTAGAATCATCAGTCTGGAAGGTGAAAAAAAAAGATGGAAAACATGTGCTTTGATTTTCGACAGCTATGAAACTGTTCTTCTTTCTCTCACTGGTCACGGGACTCTTTCTTCTTGCCTCCCTCCTGCTGCTGTGCTGCTCAACTGGCCTTTGGGCTCTGGCAGCAGCCCCCCTCCCTCTCAGTACCTTGTAATAGGCTCTGGAGATTGAGCTGCGCCTCGCGAAGCAGTTCCTCTACACTCGGGGGCCTGCCCGAGGAGAGGAAAACGTTCACTGGCTGTTGCCATGACGACCTCGAGTGGGCAGTCGCTGTCGAATTTTCCCGACCCGAGTTAGCTGCAGCTAGGGAAGGAGAGAGTCAGTGAGAGGCACAGCCGAGGGGGGGGGGAGGTATTGGGTGGGTGGGGGAGCAGCGGCCCCAGCCAATGGGTGTTCATGGTTCCCGATGATCCGCCCTTATGGGCGTGGCGTATGTAGATGCCTGGCTGCATTTAAAAGGCCCAGGAAATCGCGGTCCGCAAGATTTTTCCTCGACAGATCCTGCCGCAGTCCGCTCCCTCCCCGCTGTGTCGGCATCGGAGCTTCGGTACTCCTGATCGCTACCACTGCTACTGAGTCGCCACGCCAGTGTCCAATACCTCATGCCTGCTGGCCTGCTCTGCCTTCTGTGAACCCGCTAACGAGGTAACGCGTCCGGGGCCGAGGGGCGGGGCCCTGCGCCCCCAAGCTCCCTAGGTGCTCGCCCCAGTGGGTGTAGCCCGGCCTCGCTGTGCCCCTCCGCCGCACTTCGGTCTCCTCTCGCTTCCTGCCACCCCATTTCTGCCTGCTCCAGCGGCCCATAGCTCCCTTCCCCCACTGCCAGAGCCTCAGAACCCCAAGCTAGTTGAGATGTCTGAGGCGGCAGGAAATCTCAATAGCCTCCGCATGGCAAATGTGGCCCTGCGAGAAGAATTAAATGCCCTTCGTGGGGAGAATGCCAGTTTGGGCCTGCAGCTAGGAAGAGCCCTGGCCGAGGTTAATTCTTTGCGGAGCAATGTCTCAAGCTACATACGCTGGCCAGTGCCCATAGTGCCTGTCCTTACTGAAGAGAACTTTGAGTTCCCGCTCAATGAAATTGACCCCACTCCCGAGGAAGAAGTGCCCTTCTTGTGCTGGCCTCCCCCACGCACGGATCCAGAGTATGTCTCAGATGATCTTTTGATTAACGTGGTACAGGATTACACCAACCCTGACGGGTCCACTGACCCTCCTCTGTCAGTCAGTTCATCCCCCTCTGAGCTGCTGTGCCCTGTGTCCAAGGAGCCGCCCCCGCAGGCCCTTCTGCCACTCCTGGAGCGGCCCGACATAGAGCCTTTTTCAGGCGACCCAGTCTATCTGGCGGAATTTCTGATGCAGTTGGAGACCTTTATAGCTGATCATGAGGATCATTTCTCTGGAGGTGCTGAAAAGGTGGCCTTTCTGATCTCCTATTTCACAGGGGAAGCTAGGGACTGGGCTATCTCAGTTACCCAGGAGGGAAGCTCCCTGCATGCCAACTTCCCGCTCTTCCTGGATGAAATCCGTAAAGAATTCTGTGGCCCCATCCCCCCGCGTGTGGCTAAAAAGGCCATCCGCAAGCTCAAGCAGGGAGACTGTACCCTGGGCAGCTATGCAGATGCTTTTCAGTTTCTAGCCCAATTCTTGCCTTGGGATGACTGTCGCCTCCAAAACCAATTCCTCAAAGGCCTGTCGGAATTCTTCCGAAAGGAGCTTTTGTGGTCCACTGAAATGGCTGACCTGGATGAGCTGATTCTCGAGTGTGTGGAAATAGAAAGGAAGGTACGTGTACCCAAGCCAATCCCACTTCCTGGGGTTCGCAATGTCTTCTTCTCTTTTACTCCCAACCCCAATGAGGATGAAAATGAAGATGAGGAGCACTACTGTGAGGATGAGGGTGAAGAGGAAAGTGGTAACAGGCTTTACCTGAAGGACATGGGGCAACACATGAGGGTTTTTCACCAGGAGATGAGGGAAGAGGAAGAGGAGGAAGAAATGAGGAAGGAGGAGGAAGAAATAAAGGATGAGGATGAGGATGAAGATCAGGATGAGGAGGGGGATGACGAGGAGGAGGAAGAGGAGGAAGAGGAGGAGATGAAACAGAAAGAGGAGATGAGGAGGATTATGGATGATGATGAGAATGAGGATGAAGATGTAATTGAGGTGGGGAGCGTGGATCCAGAGCAGGAGCAAGAGAGTGTGGAGATCCATCACTCAGCCCACCATCACTACCATCACCATTACCACCATGGCTTACCAGAGGAGCTGATGGAAATGGAGGAGCCTGTCCTTGTGGACACTTCAACCCAGACTAGCTCCTCAATTGGCTACCATGCTGAGAATTTCCTGGTCGTGTCACCTCCCATAATACATTCCAGCCGACGGAGGAACCAGAATCGAGTCCCACTTCTGGAGGGCCTTCCAGGTACCAATTCGCCATTTTATAGCTCTCCACCACTGATTCGCCGTGCAGGTCGCTTGGGTCAACGCCAAATTCGAAGGCGCCCTCCAGTGCTATTTCGCCTCACTCCAAGACAGGGGGGCCACCGAGCTGCTCGTGGCCGAATTCGCGTGTGAATGCAGGGGTGAGTTGGCCACCCAGAACACACCCTTCTATTGCGTCCCCTGCCCCTGCTACTGCTGCCAGATCTACCCTGACTACTGACCAGTCCTTATAGGAGTTCCAGGCTTGCAGAACCTGAAGAAGACCTGCAGAATTTCAGACCGTCTTGCAGCCCTGACCAGAGAGTGACATATGTCCAGCTAAAGTCACCTGGGAAAGGAGAAGTCAGCAGTAGCTGTCTTCTTGCCATGTGTTTGGCTCATTTCCACTACAAGCTGGAGAGCAAGTTTCTGGGCCTCAATGAACTGGTCACTCCTTTGTGTCCCCCTCTAGTTGTTCCAAACCCTTGCCTCTCGTGACTTTCTCTGCCCTGTGTTCTACACTTTTATCCTGATTGGCTGACTGAGACTTCACCCAATGCCTCACTGATCTGCCCCAATGATTGAAAGGACAGGTTACACTGAACTCCCAAAGCTGCTGTGGCCACTCCCTAGATAGAACTGATAGCGAGCAGGATGGAATCAAGAAATATATCTAGAAGCCCACACTTGTGTCATGCCATACTTTCAGCCAAAGGGTCTTGGAGAGAAACCTACAGTGAGAGTATACAAAGCTGTATGCCAAATGGACACCTTGACTGAGACTTATTTGCATATGGCTGACTATGGCAGGCTGGATCTATTTCCAGTTTCTGCACTTACCTCCTCTCAAGACTCTTATCAAGGCTCCTGGGCTAGTTTGGCCAAACATAGGGCCTTCTATAATCATACTGACCTCCTGGACACCCCTCTGCAGACAAAGCTCAACACCACGGTCTCCACTCTCTTTCTTGATGCTGCCTAAAGGGGGTAGGCACTTGGGAGTGGGCAAGGAGGAGGAAGAGGCTGCACAAGTAATTTTGACATTCCTAAGGGTGACTCTTGCCTTATGGACAGGGTCCTCCTCCTCCTGCCAGGCCTTGGACTGCAGCCCCCAGCTGAAAGCCTGTGGCAGGAGACTGTCTTCTAGAAGTGGTAGAAGTGGCTCTTGCTGTAGAGGGAAGCCACACTGAGAGAGAGAGAGAGCCCCCCCTACAACCTGCTCTGAGCTTCTTCCAATTCTAAGGATTCTTAGATCTGAGGGGAGAGAGGAAGGTTGGTGCTAGAAACTGCATCACTGCAGCCTTGTGGCCACATACATTCATGGCTCTCATTTGAGGGTCAGTCCCCCAGTCTACTGCTGCACTTTGATTTTCACAGCGTGGCTTAAGGGGTGACTACCTAGTGGCTTAAGGGGGTGACTGTCTTGTATGCAATGCTGTAGCTTCTGGGAGCAAATGTAGATACCCTTATAAACAGATCTCCTGTTCACCAGAAAACACTGCTTCTTCAGTGAAAACTGCACATTTACTATGTCACTTCTAGTTGCAAAATGCCAGCCAAAACTACTGCTGGCCTGGCTTGCCCCTAGACACTGAACTGTCTGCATAAGTGCAACCCAAGTGTCTGACCAGAAAGAAGAAAGTATAGTAAATGGAGTCTCTGTGCCCCACTGGAGTCTGACAGATAACTTCAGCCCAACTTTAGGATTTTGGGCCTGGAGGCCAGAGGAAGGAGCTGGAGGAAGAGGAGTCACAGAGAGACCCAGTCCTCAGACTGGTTTTGGGTGAGATCTCTGATCATCTATAGGAGGTAAGACTCTTTTTTTAATCACTTGTTTCTCAGCCTGGAGATCAGTGGAATTAGGCTCCTATAACTTGTTGCTGTCTTTTCAAAAGGTCTCACAAATAGAAGAGTAATATATATACATTATAGAAAATTTGGAAAATAGGGAACACTCTTAAGGACAAAATATCCTCCCCCATTAAGAATCCCACCCTAGATGCATACTTGCTGCGTTTCATTCTAGCATGTTCTTTCAAAGTTGAGATCATCTTGCCAGCTCTAGCTGCTCATCAGCAGAGTTTAAAATGGCTGCCACCAATGTAATTGGGCAAACTGAAGTATTAAGTAACTTCTTATTAGACATTTAAATGGTCTGTTTCTCCCTCATTCCCACTAGAGCAGGAATGAACAACCTTATGAAAATGGTTTTGTCTGTTTTTCAGCTTATTTCCTCAGGTGAGAATTCCAGAAGGGGAACTGCTGTTCTTCAAGGCTGTGGACACTGTTTGCTGATGTCATCATGCTGGCCTTGCTGCCCATGTGCTTGTGGAGATGTGCAAAGGACAGGTGCCTTGCACTCCCTTCCAAGGACACCTCAGCACAGGCCCTGCCTGTTCCCATGGTGCTTCTCACCCTGAACCTACATAGCCTCAGCCAGGGAGAGAGCAGATGAACAATGAGCTGGTATCCAGACCTCCGGGGACAGAGAGGGCTTGGATTTTTCTTTGACTTTTTTCTCCCTTTCCCAGATCTTCAATACTTGTTGTGATGTGACAGCCACAAGAGCCGTAAGAAGAACTGTGGGCTTTGGGTACTTCCTTGGGTTTGAGAGAGGGTTGAGGGTGGGTGGGTGGGTGGGAAATGCATGCAAGGGGATGGGAGCAACCCAAGGATTCCCAGAGGCTCGGGAAGAAACCACTTTGAAACAAATGTGTTATTGTTACTATTGTGTTATTGTTGTATTACTTCCGTTGTGAAGATAAGAAATTGCTCCGTATGCTAAAGCTTTCTCTCCTCAATAAAAATATAAAGGGTGTGTAATGATTGTGTCTGTCTGTGTTAGTGATTTTGTTGTTGTTGTTGTTGTGGGGCTTGAACTTGAGGCCTGGGCACTGTCCCTGAGCTTTTGTGCTCAAGGCTAGCACTCTACCACTTGAGCCACAACTCTAGTTCTGTCTGTGTTATTGAGCAAACATAGACAGAGACCAATACACAGAAGGTGCTTACTTTCTAGGCACCTAGACCAAAGCCGTGCTAGATTGGGGCCTTGAAATCTTGAATGAAGAAACTGAGGCCAAGATAGGCTCAAGGGACCAGCTTACATCCTATACATAAATGGGTAGTAGGGAAGGAAGGAAGTTGTTGGGAAGGAAGTGGAATCACTACAAACACACACACACACACACACACACACACACACACAGAGGAGTTGGAGTGCGAGGGAGGAAAATCAGGAAGGAAGGGAAGGCGCTTCCATTTTTGGGCAGTAGATGGCGCCATGGGATGCCAGTGAGATAGCTAGAGCTGATTTGGATGCAAATCCCCAGAGCAGTTCACACAAGATCTCCTTGTTCCGGGCAGACTTTGCTCTCAGAAGAAACTGAATCCCATTCTAGACTTTGCTTATGTTTCCAAGACATAAATTGGACTTTTTTCCTGGAGAAGGAGGTGGGAATGAGTCCTTACTAGTTACTTGTGAGTGCCGGGCTGGGCATTTGAAGTCTATTATCCTATTTCAGCCTCATAACCATCCTAGGATAGTAGGCCTTATTTTCTCCCCCTGCCTCCATCTCGCAGATAAGTATATTGAAGTTTAGAAGTCATTACCCACGGATGTCATCTAGGAGTGTACACAGCTCTGCCCGTTAGCTCCAGGGACACAGCCCCATTCAATGCCCTACTGTTTTTTTCCCCCAGTAACAAAAAATTGTTTTATATCAAATACAATATCAAATTGTCATTGCATGTAAACACAGTGATTCTTGGTAAAGAGCAGAGGCCAAAGTATCACAAAAATGGCCATGGAGTAATTACCGCGTAAAAAAAAACAACAAAAAAACCCCCAAACCTATAAAAGACCAGAGTCCCCTGACCCTTCCTCCTGCGGATGCCATCCCATGGAGAGCACCAAACCAGAGACAGCAGGTAGCTGTGGAGAAACTGCTCAGCGGAGGCCCCTGGATTGGGCAAGGCCGGTGGCCGAGGGGCGGATCACCACAGCCCTTCCTGTCCACATGGAAGCTCTGGTGGGTGTCTGCCTCCTGGAGCCGGAGCCGGAGTGGAGCTGGAGCTGGCGCTGGCTTCTGCTCCAGGTGGGTCCTGGTGCTGAGGTCCGAGGTCCCTTTGGATCAAGGGTTGTCTGGGTTCTCTTGGTTTTGGACCCTCCCCAAACCTGGCAAACCCAAGCAAGAGAAAATCTCAATACTGGCATGCGGGCCTACCGAGGGTGGCAGAGGTGCCTGGAGGCTCGCTACACCTGGATGCCAGGGAAGGGCACATTCCCTACTGTCTTAACAGGCTATGTTGGTGTCCTGGTTCCTCCCTTCCCTGCCTCCTCCCTACTTCAGGATTCTAGTTTAAAAACCCTTAGTTTCACAGGCATGTCTGCTTTGGCACTCTGAGAAGAAGGGCGGGGGAAATTAGCATGCTTCTGGGTAGATGTTCTGCATTGCTAGAATCATTTGCAGGTAATGGTGTCTCCTTTTAGAGATCTTATGTTCCATAGGGGAATCTAAGACTGAAAACTAAGGAACCAGCCAAATGGTAGTTCTGTCCTTTTGGGAAGCTCTTTCCCAGTTGGATTGGTCAAGTGTGAGTGCTGGCCATAGGGCTGACTGGGCCTCATGGAGAGAAGATGGGATAAGGGGCCATGGCTGTTTCAGTAATCACTTAGGCTCCCTTGTAGGGGTCAGGGGTGGGGATCAGAAAGCTATCCAGTAGGGAGGGAAGGGATGGTAGGGGAAAAACAAAGGAGGAGGCAACAATGATTGATAGGAAATGCACTCATTACCTTGCTCATGTAACTGTAACCCCTCTGTACAGTATTTTTATGAAAAAACTTTAAAAAAGCTATCCAGTAGCTCTGAAATTTCTCTTGATGTCGCAGGTAGGGGTAAGTGAGTCCAGGCTGTGCAAGGGACAATCAGATCAAGTGTGGTTAAAGTAATAAAAAGAGGGTGAGCATTGCCTCAGTCCTGCAGCCATAAGCAATGTGGGGGCAGGGAAGAAAGTTCACAGTTCCAATGCAGTCTGCAACTGAGTCCATTTGGCATCTTACACAGTATCTTTCCCTCTTGGGTCACACCTTCCTAACTTGATTAGTCACCTTGAGTCCACAGGATGACAACATGTGGTAAGTAAGCAGTAAATCTCAACATTGTGGTACAATAAATAAATATATGAGGAAACAGGCTGCTGGATGGAGACCTCGAGGGAGCCTGTTAAGGAAATCTAAGGATGGAGTAAAGCTTAGAGGACTGGAAGATTCGAACCACAATGGAAGTAGGGGCCAAAATATCTCCCTTTCATAGAAGACTTAGAAAATCAAGTGCTTATGCACTTCTCACTCTGCCTGAGTGAGAAGGGTGAGTGAGACAAGGCTGAGTAGAAGCTCATGAGAAAGAGCATATGATGGCTGGGAGCTGGTGGCTCATGCCTATAATCCTATCTACGCAAGAGATTGAGATCTGAGGATCATATTTCAAAGCCACTCCAGGCAGGAAAGTTTGTAAGACTCTGATTTCCAATTAACCACCAAAAAAAAAAAAAAAAGCCCACAGTGGAACTATGTTTCAAGTGGTAGAATGCTAGCCTCGAGCAACAAAAAGCTCAAGTACAGTGGCCAGGTCCTGAGTTCAAGCCCCAGAACTGGCACCAAAAAAGAAAAGAAAAGAGAAAGAAAAAGAAAAAGAAAAAGGAAGTGTATGATCATGGAGGCAGGCAGAACTCGGTGTGTACCAATGGACTGGCGGGCTTTCCAAGCTATTAATGCCTTCCTGGGCTACTGTCACTATCCAGAGGTGGTAAAGTCCCATCTGGGGTCCTGGCTGCCAGTCTCCAGGTACCAGATGGCCCTTCACAGAAGCCTTTACCTTCCATGAGTAAGAAATTACCAGAACACAAGAAAGAAAGAGGAGACCAATGCGAGCAGTAAAGGGGTGACAAAAATGGTGAGGGGTTCCCCAAACCCTGTTCTCAATACATAGAGGAGGGCAGAGAAAATCTGTAACACATTTCTCTGTTCTTTTTACTGAGGAAACAAGAGTCTATGAGGTCAACCTAATGGCTCAAGGTTACCTCCAAACAGTCTGACATCCAGGATCATACCTCTTCCATCATTTAGGCCCATCAGATCAGAATTGCCTAGAATTCCATTTTTTAAAAGCACTGTAAGCAATTTAATGCCAGCCCAGCCCAGTGTAGAATAGAGGCTTGGGTACAGGTATCCCAGGTGACATTTAATGGCTAGTTTGGTTCTGAGCCTTCCCATATAACTCCTGTAACAGAAATGGACCCAGAGATAGAGATCTAACATATAGTAAGTGATCAGGAAATACATTTATATATATACACACACCTATATGTCTATAGACATCATATGTCTATATGTATATCTAAGTATGTATCTGTGTGTATAGGTACTATGGTTTGATATAAGCTCACCATAATTGGACATTTTCTCTTCTTTTTTTTTTGCCAGTCCTGGGGCTTGAACTTAGGGCCTTCTTTTGCTCAAGGCTAGTTAGCACTCTACCACTTGAGCCACAGAGACACGTCTGTTTATGTAGTACTAAGGAATCGAACCCAGGGCTTCATGCATGCTAGGCAAGCACTCTACCACTGAGCCACTTTCCCAGACCTAATTGGACTTTCTGATACCCTCCTGAGAAAGGTTGCCTCAGAATGGGTGCAGATGTCTGGCCCCAAGAAGCCAGGTCTACTGAAACCAAAACCTACGCCCATTATGGCCAGATCTGGCTCTTAGGGCTGGAGGAGGGCCAGCAATTACAAGACTATCTCCAAATGGAGGGAGGTGGGCACCACCTCTGGCTAGCACTTCCTGTACCCTTCCCAGATGGTGAAAACTTATCAGGCTACTTCTCCCCAGGGACTCTAGGGAGAAACACAAAGCCCTGAGTTCTCACTTGCCTGGGTTGCCTTGGTAACAGTAGGACCTACTTAGAAGAAAACAGTCTCTTAAAGGCTTTAAAGGGTGGATATTTCCTTTGACAGAGCTGACCCTGCACTGATTCCCTACATCTCCCTCCTCTTCCTGTCTGCCAGGAACCTGGGCCCCTCACCTCAGCCTATGTCCCCAAGGGGTTAGGGCAGATGATGCACTCAGGTCCTGGCTGCTCCTGGGAGGAAGAGGCTGATATGCAAGACAAGTTCTGGCAATGGCTCTGTGTGGCTCAGAAAAGTCATGCCTTCTCTGGGGGACCTGAGGACAATGGAACCCAAGGAGGGCAGTGTCCCCAGCAATTCCTGTCTTCCTCCCTACTTGCTGTGCAGGGATGAAGCCTGTTTGGGTGTGGGGGCATCTAAAGAGTTACTGAAGTTTCAGCCCTTTTTTCCTCTGCCCCTACCCCACTTTAGTCTTTCTTCATTTTCTTTCTGGACCATTAAAGTAGCTTTCCATGTCCTTAGTCTATTCTGCCTCATATGTAGCTTCTATAATCTCAGCTCCTTTGGATCCATCCACCTTCCATTAGCCTGGGTGATAGTGTTGCAGAGGTGTGTGTGTGGGGGGGTGCTGTGGTCCTCTGACCTCACAGATTTGGTCTTCAATGGACATCAATGTCCTTCCTCAGGACAAAGCTTGTGATACTGATTCTGGTGTCCTTTGCTACCTGGTCATGAAC